TCTGTAAATAGAAGGATTTCAATTATCTAATTCAAATATCACCCGAAGCTATAAATAAATTGATCTTGAAGTTTTTGTTTTTATTTAGAAGTAATAACTGAAAGGTTAACAAAACTTTCTTTTTCTCTATTGTATATTATAGAAGTATGATGTCTTTTATTAGATTCATCCTAAATATATCTCAATAGAAATTAATCTATTATTGGATTTATTTTCAAAATATTATTGTATCACAAGGAATTTATCATATAAACATCTTAACAACAAATAACTTCTCAGTAAATCTATTCTGAACATAGAAGGATTGATTTATATCGTTAATCACTATTCTAAAATTTTTACAAATGATAATACCAAATAGTTTAATGGTTAGAGTGATGACTTCTCAGTTCATATGTCTAAGATTTCCAAAAAAAAAAACTCCTGGAAGTGTTATTATAAGTAGGATTAAAATGCTAGATGAAAATTTTTATCCTACAATAATTTTGTTGATTGTCAGTTGTGATAACTGAGTATTCAAATTGAAATAATAAAGAAAATAATCTTGTATAAAATAAACTTTTATGTAGAATTTAACGAACGAAATAAAAGAATTATAAAATTAATCTCGATTAATTAGGAAAAAGTCTTATTTTGTATTATATCATTTGATTGGATAGTTTTTCCATAGTATCGAATTCAATGAAGTTCTTCGTCTTTTTTTAATAAATAAATAAATATTTAATTTTAGCCGATAGGCGAACACAAGCAAAACGTGTAACAGCTGAACGTGGTTCTGATTTATCCCTTTCATGTACATTTCAAGATGAAGATAGTGATAAAACTGTAACACAGAAAAAAACAAAACATGTTTCATTTAAATATCTTATTTTGTTATTTTCTTTTTTTTAAAGATTGTTCAATGGCTTTATCAAAATGTAACTGATTCAAATATTAATCATCGTACACATAAAATACATTGGCGACCATTATTTCTCAATGCTCAATCATTAACACCAAGTGAAACACGTTATAGTATTCAACAAAAAATACAACAAATAAATGATACATCTATAGCTTATATAACAATATTAACATTATCAAAAGTTAATGAATCTGATGAAGGTCTTTATATATGTAAATCACTTTCACCAAAAACAATACAAATGGCTTATCAAGTACGTGTGATACGTAAGTGAAAAAATTTTAAGAAAAATTTGATTTGATGTAATAAATGTTGTTGTTTTTTTTAGAAAGTCTTGATATTAATCCAACAGAAGTATTAATATCAACTGATGAAATTGGTCAATATTCAATACGTTTAAATTGTATATTAACAGATAGTCATTTAGAAGAACGTCATCATGAGATTCATTGGTGGCATAATAATAAACGAATTAATACAAATTCAAATCGACATACACGTATTACAAAAAATTTTACTCGACATTCATTTATATCAACATTATTTTATACGGATGAACCAGCTAATATTGCTGGAATTTATATGTGTGAAGCAGATCCAATAAGAAAATATATTCCAGTTGAATTAAAATCAAATCAAAGTTCAGGTATTAAAAACATTAAAAAAAAAAAGAATAAAAAAAAAATTTTTTTCTTCATTGATTTATTTTAGATTTATTAATCGATTTATATTTAATTTTCATAATAGAAATTTTATTATCGATATTTCAATGGTAGAATATTAAAAGGACAAAAGAAAATATAAACCGGTGAAAATTTTTTTTCTTCTTCTTTTTTTTCTTTCTTCTTCGTTTTCGTTCACCTCAAATTTGAAAATAATTGCTACTGTGTGTATTCAGTATTTTTTACTGTTTCATTTTCCTTTTTGTAGTTTTAAAAAGAAAAAAAAGAAAATTAATAAAATACCGAAGCGCCTTGTAATATTTAATTTATCGTTTTTCAAAATATTAAAAAATAGAATTTAAATTATTTGAATTTGTAAAATAATTGATGGATTGATTTTATGAGACAACATATGCAATTGATTTTTATTGTATTACCTATGTATTTGACTGGTTTGATCAGAATTGTAAAGTTATTTATAAATGAAAAAAGTATGCCATTGAAGATCTATCGGTTTATTATATGAATAATATATTATTTTTCAGAGTTGAATGATAACATTATGAAAGATCAAAAATAAGAGAAGAAAATTACTTAGCTATGGAAATTGTTTTCAAATATATGGAACCTTATAATTTGAATATTAGTCTTTCTTATATTCTGAGTCACAAAAATAGAAAGTATTTGATGATTCAATTGTCTCGAGAAAGAAACATTCGTTTCGACTAAAACTTTCAAGAGATATAATTCTTCAACAATATGTCACTAGATTCAAGTCCTGTTAGACTTTCTTTAGTCTAATAGAAACCTACGTCATGATCACAATATGAAATCGAATAACGTTCGATAGTTGGGGATGTTCCAGCAATAACTTTATAAATACTTTATGATTTAATTGTATCTCTATTGCATAAAACATTTCTAAACTAATAACTATTTAGAAATAAGTTTTCAATGAATCTTTCAATTTCATATTGCTATTACGATCATTTGATGATAATTGTTATAAAACTCATTAGTAGAAATTTTGATATGAATCTTTTTTGAATGAGACATTGTACGGTAATGAATGCACTCAATAGAGATCGAGATGCAGGTGTTTGATGGCGGAAACAATATTCAACTCAAATGTCACTTGCATTCTAGTCAATCAAGTTTGATTTCAATTTGATTTCTCGTGATGTATGAAGGACATAGTTACTTTTATTCATGTTTTAGGTTTATAAATAATTATTAATGGTTTGAATTCAATGGAATTAGTATTCTTTGAAATGATGTAATAAGAGATTCTATTTAATTTCATTTGCAATAGATGACAGAACAACACGTATTATAAACATAAGAAAAAGTTGAACAATTACAAACAAAAATTCTGATTGTTGAAACTTTCATCCTATCAATTAATGTCTGAATCTTAATATTGACATTGTGAATCATTTTTTTTTCGTTGCATGTTTTTAACATTGGATTTTATCAACCAAACAAAAGGGAAAAATCCAATTGTTTTCCTTCATGAATGATTATATATCCATGAATATTTCAGCAAGTTGAATGTTCAGTATATTTAGCTAAATTCAAGAACAAATTAAAAATAGATTTATTAAATAGTTGCTGATTAATTTTTTATGTATTGTTGTAAGAAAAGAAATAATAAAAACCGTGTAATTTTCTTTTTTTCTTCTTGGAAGATTTTTTAAAAACTAAAGCTTAGATCATAAAACAATTTCTCTTATCTTACATAAAAGAATAAAAAACAAAAGAAATAATATTTGATTGAAATTTTGTTTTCTCTTGATATTAAATTCTTACGAGACGTCATTGGAATATAACCAATATTGACTTTACACATTTATTCTTTCTTTCAATTGACGTCATGCTAACAAAAAAAAAATTTCAAATGACGAGTATTGATTTGTCCAAGTTGTTATTTAAATAATATATATATATATAATAGGCTATTATATTTTCTAAAGCATATTAATATTCAAATGACACGGACTGTTCCTTTTTGTATTTCCAAATAAATTCCAAATCAATAAAATGACCGAAAATCCCTTTCGAATTATTGAATTAGATGAACAAAATTTTCTTCACGATTGTTTAGCACTGAAAACTTTATGTGCTATACCGAATCGAGATTCTGAACATGATGAATTTATTCAATTTTGTCAAGAAAATGATTTCTTACAATACATATCTGAATTTGAATTTCCACATCGTCCAGATGTGGCCATCCAATTGTATACTCGATCATCTGGTTTTTCATCAAAAATTATAAATAGTAC